TCCATGGTGGATCTTCTCTATACCTCTTACTTGTACATCTTTTGTGTGGTGGTCTGGTTGGCAGAAATGTGCTGCTACCGGTTTATCATTTTGGTCCGGATATCTGAGCGATGTCCATTCATCCTAAAGTGTAGAGGCTGTTTTGTCTCTCCCACATATTGTAGATTGCACCTTTTGCAGGTTATCAGATATACGAGGTTGCTCGATTTGCATGTCATCTCGCTTCTTATGTTGTATGTCCTGCTGGTGGTTGTGCTCGAGAACTTATTGCAGGTGACAATCTCCGCACAGCACTTGCAGTTTTTACCTTTACAGGGAGAGTTGCCAGCGGGGAGGGATGGGCTTGGTGTAGATATCCTGGCATGGACTAGGAGGTCTTTCAGATTGCGTGGTCGTCTGAAAGCAACCATGGGGGGATTGGGGAGGGCGTTGTTGAGTTTCTTCGATGTGTGCAGGATAGGAAAGTGTTTCGTCAACACTGCTGGTAGGTTGTTTAGTGAAGGATGGTAGGTGATGACCAGGGGGGTTCTGCCCAGTGTGCTACGAGCGTGGCATTGAAGTGCCACTTGACGAGGGACTATTGCTGCTATCTGTATCTGTAGGTCAATCATAGATTCCTTGTAACCTCGGGACAGTAAATGTTCTTTCAAATCTTGTGCCCTGTGTTTGAAATCGCTGTCTCTCGAGCAGATTCTCCGTAGCCTAAGACCCTGGCTGTATGGAATGGAAAGAGTGCAGTGTCTCGGATGACAACTGTTGGGGGAGAGATATTGATGGGTGTCTGTTGGTTTAGTATGTAGATCTGTGTGGATGACGTTCCCCTCGAGGATGACAGTGGTGTCCAAGAAGGCGACGCTTTTAGTTGAGTGCTCTGATGTAAACTTGATGGTTGGATGGAAGTTATTTATCTGTTCAAGGAAGATATCCAATGCTTCTTGGCCATGTTGCCAGATTGCAAACACGTCGTCGATATAGCGCCACCATACACAGGGTCGAGAGTGCGTCCATGTGAGTAGTCTGTTTTCCAGCTCCGACATAAAGATGTTTGCATAAGATGGTGCCTAGAGAAAAAAACTGAATGACGAATGGAGACGAATCATTAAGCAGATGCAGCTGAAATTCCTGAAGTCACTGAAAGTCTGTCATCGACAGACCCTGGAGGTTATAAGAACAAAGATATCGGACTTGGAGCGGGACATCAGGACGAGCCTGGATAGAAACACCTTCGAAAAAACTCTCTCCATCCTTAACGACAAAGCTAGAAACCTGCAAAAGAAACTGGAGAAAAAGAAGAAACATAAACTCAGCAAGCTGATTGACAAAAAAACGCGGCGGAGAAACAGACAACCACGACCGCACCTGCCCCGTCAACCTAAATTCACAGCCCCAATCGATCCCACTCCACGAACGGTCATCAACCTCTCTAATGCAAATCTGTCCCCTGAGGACATAAACCTTCTTGCCAAAGGCCTGAAGTATGCTCCAGTACCCCCGAAAAGCAACCGCTTCGAACTGAAAAAAGACCTTGAAGCGTTCGGAAGAAGACTGAGACTAAAAGCATTTTTCTACAACCCGGACGGCTCCGATACATCGCAGGAAGACAATCAACAACTTCACTTCAAAGAAAAAAGCACCTGGAACCCCCCCAAAGAACAGAGATCCCGCCCTGGAAACTTTTCTCAAAGCAGTAGAAAACGACGTCTGGCATATAGAGACAGGAAAGACAACCTAAACCCAGCGGAACGTAGAGCCCTATCCCAACTCCGCTCTCGCACGGACATCGTAATCAAGCCGGCCGACAAGGGATCAGCCACGGTTGTTATCGGTAGAGAAACCTATCTGACCGAAGCAAACAGACAACTGAACGACCAGAGGTTCTATCGCAAATTAGAGAAAGACCTCACGGAAACGCCACGCAGAGGAAGTGAAGACTCTTGTCGAAGAAATACGTGACAAGGAATTCAAAACAAAAGATATTGCAAAATATCTTACACCAGAAAACCCACGAACAGCAAGGTTTTACCACCTACCAAAACCAAAAATTCACAAAGCGACCATTCCTGTTCCAGGTAGACCTATCATATCCTCTAATGGAGCTCCCACGGAACGAATATCAAAATACGTGGATATTAATTTACAACCTCTGGTTGTGAGATCATCATCCTATCTAAAGGATACAACCGATTTCCTACAAAAGCTGTCAACGGTCCCAACTTTACGACCCAACTGCATACAAAGCTTATACTTACCAGAAACAACTTTGTGTTTAATGGAGAACACTATCTACAGACACAGGGCACAGCTATGGGCACCAAAATGGCACCATCTTATGCAAACATCTTTATGTTGGAGCTGGAAAAAAGACTACTCACATGGACGCACTCTCGACCCTGTGTATGGTGGCGCTATATCGACGACGTGTTTGCAATCTGGCAACATGGCCAAGAAGCATTGGATATCTTCCTTGAACAGATAAATAACTTCCATCCAACCATCAAGTTTACATCAGAGCACTCAACTAAAAGCGTCGCCTTCTTGGACACCACTGTCATCCTCGAGGGGAACGTCATCCACACAGATCTACATACTAAACCAACAGACACCCATCAATATCTCTCCCCCAACAGTTGTCATCCGAGACACTGCACTCTTTCCATTCCATACAGCCAGGGTCTTAGGCTACGGAGAATCTGCTCGAGAGACAGCGATTTCAAACACAGGGCACAAGATTTGAAAGAACATTTACTGTCCCGAGGTTACAAGGAATCTATGATTGACCTACAGATACAGATAGCAGCAATAGTCCCTCGTCAAGTGGCACTTCAATGCCACGCTCGTAGCACACTGGGCAGAACCCCCCTGGTCATCACCTACCATCCTTCACTAAACAACCTACCAGCAGTGTTGACGAAACACTTTCCTATCCTGCACACATCGAAGAAACTCAACAACGCCCTCCCCAATCCCCCCATGGTTGCTTTCAGACGACCACGCAATCTGAAAGACCTCCTAGTCCATGCCAGGATATCTACACCAAGCCCATCCCTCCCCGCTGGCAACTCTCCCTGTAAAGGTAAAAACTGCAAGTGCTGTGCGGAGATTGTCACCTGCAATAAGTTCTCGAGCACAACCACCAGCAGGACATACAACATAAGAAGCGAGATGACATGCAAATCGAGCAACCTCGTATATCTGATAACCTGCAAAAGGTGCAATCTACAATATGTGGGAGAGACAAAACAGCCTCTACACTTTAGGATGAATGGACATCGCTCAGATATCCGGACCAAAAAAAAAGATAAACCGGTAGCAGCACATTTCTGCCAACCAGACCACCACACAAAAGATGTACAAGTAAGAGGTATAGAGAAGATCCACCATGGAGGCACTCTACGGGGAGGGGTGTCCTACTGCGAGACGGCGCGGCCCAGTTGTTGCGCTGGGCCCACCCAATGACAGGCGATGTGCCTCTCCCCTCACCCTGCAAATTGGCCTATTTGTAGGGCATTTGCAACATACGAATGACAGGAGCAGAACGAGAAAGTTTTTGGATATTCACATTGAGAACTCTGTCTCCTGAGGGGCTTAACCTAGACGAGTAGGCACCCACAGAACACCATCGTGGACAGCCCCCATCTGCCTGGTACAAGACCTGACAATAAACATGTTAGAATGAATCATACATCTAGCTATATAATAGGCAGCATCTGCCTGTGTATTCACTTGCCTGAAGAAGATCCCTCAGGGATCGAAACGTCGCAAGATGATATTTTTGGTCAGCAGTCTGCACGTGAAGCCCTTCACCCTTTGCGGTAGCATCATTAACTGTTGACTCACTTCTACTCTACTTGGGGACTTATATTGGGCAATAATGTTCCACTTTCTCTGCTATATTGTAAGGGCACCAAAGTTATGGAAGTAATAGGGAACATGGAGAGCGGAACAGTACACGTGTGTATGTTCTAAGCACAAGAGTAGGACATGGATGCCCAGCCTTGAAAACTGGGGACGGTGGGTTAAAGATATTTGATGGCTAGCCAACTCTCCTCACATATCCAATGTCACAGACTCTCGTGCAATATCTACAGCTTACAGTACTGTATTGAAGTAGTTACAATCATACCATAGGCTCTCTGGGGGACTTGCAATCCTACGGTTCTACTAATGCACAGTGGGGTATTTTGTGATGTCATAGGTGTGGAATTTCCTAAGGGGGAAGTGGGTTTGTTACTCTAGGGTCCTGGGTGATGTATTTTTACTCTAGTGATACTCACAAGTGTAAAAATGGTGTGTGTGTGTGTGTCTGTTACTCTACATCTCACTTCTCCAGTGCTTGTTCGTCTCACAAAGGATATCACCTACTTAACGGTCAATGAAGGTCTGAAACTGTTCCGTTGCAAAGCTAGAGCGCGAAAAAGCCAATATGCAAATACACAACGGACACCACAGTTTGATCGATCCGCGTGCTCTGCGTACCTCGGAGGTACCAGAAGTAACAGCTAAAACTATAAACCCAGCCCATCAATTAGTGGTACCGCGCATGCGTTTACTTACACGTGCGTGTCACAATGCGCCGAGGGTTTACACTTCAGTGCTTTTCATTAACCCTCAGCACGGGCATGCGCAGCGAGGGTTACAGTACTTGGTCTGTCCGTCCGTCTGTTACCACGTTTTCTGCCACCATGCGCAAATAGCGACACCAACTGGTTCAGCGATACACTGACTTCATACGATTTTCGTATAAGTGGTGCGTTCATAAGCGTTCAGAAGTTATGGCATGAAAAGCAAGTGAACAAGCCAATATGCAAATTAGCACAGGCTTACCTCGACCGGGTCCGCTTGCTCTGTGTACCTTGGAGGCATAACGAGGGCGTGTATCGACTCCCGATGCTATCTACTGCCGTAGCTAGACTCTCCGTGAGCAACTCAGCGGGAGACGACGAGTAAACACATACTACAAATAGCCCAGCCCATCAATTAGCGGTACCGCACATGCGCAGTTCTCCGAGGGTTTGCACTTTAGTGCTTTTCGTACTACTGTCTTAATAATATAAAAACCATGCACACTAATTGAAGTTGAGTGACACTATCCCTAATATAAACATAAATATCCCACAATTCAAGTAGATCCGTTGCTTGAAGGACCATTACTGCATAGAGAAAGTGAACAGTTAAAAACACCTAATTTCACCAGGTGGAAACACACAAACAAACTAGCTCAGCAGCAGAGTTCTTCTGATTACATATTGGTTAGATGCAGAGCCAAGGTAACTACTGTGCGTGGTAGAGTGCTGAGGGCTCCCGAGCAGTCGGCGTCCCAAGCGCAGGGAGGGCACTACTTGGAGCCAGAGGCACTTTATCACCCGTAGTTACTGTGGCGATGCGTCTAACCTCTTTCAAACTTTCTTCAAAGACGGTGAAACCCGGCGACTTTGTACTAGGCAGCAAAGGCACTAGCGCTCCACCCACTCGTACGACGTGCTGCCCCGCAACAACGCCGAGTGCCCGCTCGTACAGTCACATAGAGGCAAGTCACGTCATTCTCATCTAGGTATGGCATTGTCAGGACATCATGACAGTCGAAGATCCCGTGGAAAGATGAGCCTGATGCGGCAAGCTGCGGCGCTACTAGCAAGCTAGTCTGGCAGGGTCACACCATCGAGCACGTGCAGCGACAGTTAGTCACTTCCGCCATGTTCCACGATTACCAAAGGACATAGGCTAACATCTAGCTTAGTCTATGCCAAGTTATTTGCTGTTTTTTAGCTAGAGTAGCTGCAGCTTCCAGCGTATGCTTCCCAATAGATGCTGTTGCCAGGGCAGTGGTATTTACGGAAAATAGATAATTGCAGGATTAAAACCAGCAGTATCTATAACAGGCCACAGGTGGTACGACACAATGACGTGAGCGCAATAACTGTAGCTATATACAATTAATGGTGCTTAAAATCCGCTTTTACAACTAGTTTTGTATCATTTGAGCTTAAAGCCCCGAGAAGGCCCAGTGGTGAGGGACGGAACACGAGGCTGAAGTTTTCTTTTATTCACTTTCCGCTCATAGCCATCAAGGCAATAAAAATTATAGCTGACGCTCTACCTTTCTTGCAACGATCAGGTAATTAAGGTAAGGGAGCCTAGCTAGAGAAACAGTGTCATGTTCAAAAGCAAACACTAAGCCATTCTGCTGATAACTTAGTTTTTCGCTTTTTTTGATTACTTTCAAAGGCCGGCAAGTGAATGGTCCGCGATCACATCATACTGGCATTTGTTTGAGTGTCCAACTTGTATTCAGTACAAATCCCCGGAATGCTATGCACACATCATAGATATGTGGTAATCTTTGGAGAAATATTTTACCGCACCCAGAAGTTCTGTCTAGTGTTAGGCAAAAATGGTGAGCTCATCTTGGTGACATCTAATCACTCATTGAGAGCATTATGGCAGCCATTCAGCCGAGTGATGACGACAAATTAATAACTATTATGTCATTCCATTGCAAGGCAAGTTACGCAGGGCAAGAGTATAGATCCCGACGATTACATGTTTCCATGATGACCGGATATTGTTTGAAAAAGCCATTTTTAAAAACTACTTCTTTACTCCTCAAATTTCAAATTACTCACTCCTCAAACTTGCTAAGTGTAGCACGCTTGGAGGTGAAACTTGGTGCACATGTGTATTACATTGTTTACATGACGACCACAACAACAAATTTCTTCAGACACTTTTCTTTACTTGCTAACTGTAGCGGTGAAACTTGGTACACATGCGTATTACACATCATTTCCATCACAACCACATGTTTCTATGACGACTGCATATTGTTCAAATAGCTTCAGGCACATCTCCTCAAACTTGGCAACGGTAGCACGCAAAACTTGGTATGCATGCATGTTACATCATTTCCATGACAACTTCATGTTTCCATGACGACCACATATTGTACATCAAATAGCTTCAGGCACTCTCCACCCCTAAAACTTGCTAACGGTAACACCCATGCAGATGAAACTTGGCACTAATGCGTATGACATCGTTTCCATGACAACCACATATTATTTGAAAAACTACAGGCGTGTACTTCTTCACTCCTCAAACTTGCAAACGGCAGCACACATGGAGGCTTGGTACGCATGCATATTACATCATTTTCAAGACGAAAACAGGCATTTTTCTCTATTATGTAGTAGTATAATGGGCATGGTACATAGGTGTATGAGGCTATGATAGGGAATTTTGTTCTTCTTCTTCTTCCTCAACCAGCATAACTCAAAAACCGAAAGAGATAAAGCCATAAAATTTTGTAGGAATGTACATATCGATAGCCACATGTGCAATGTCACACTTTTTTGTTTGTAAACAATGTTGTTTACTGTAAAAGTGTCCCAGGCAATACATTACAATGGACAATACAACGCTTTGGAAGCCATGGATATATTATTCTTAAACAAGCAGAAATTGATGTAAACGCCTAGTATTATAGCCCTATATAAATGATTATGGAGGCTCTGGGCATATATATGCCGTGGCTGGCTAAGGGTTAATGGGCATACTAGATGTGTAAGTGTAACTCAAAATTGGTAAGAACTATGTGAACGAAACGTTTTATACATAATTTAGACTACGGTAACACGCAATTGACCAATCAGTTCCGAGTTTAGAGGTAACTATTTTTGTTAGTTACCTCTTTCGCGGTAACTATTTTGCAGCCCTGCGGCACTTTCTTACGCGTATTGGCCATGGCAACCACACCTTCAAATCGAGAGACGCCGTGCGAGCGGAAGGCAAACGGAGCTTCTGGAGAGGTTCTTTCTCACGAAAACCCGCGCCGCCTAGAACAAACACTCTACTGCTGCTATAGCCTTGCTGGTACCAGGTAGAGTCGTTGTTGTACGCCTGCTCGAAATGGCGGTTTGCTGGCCGCTGCAAATAGCCTGCCTACTTCCAGTTCGTCCTCAGCAAAATCTGTGACCCCAGTAAGCCATCCATCCTCAATGCAGCACACGTTGCTAGCGCCTGCGCTGTAGTCTAAGATGGTTAGATGCGTCGCCTTGGGAACTACGCGATTTAGTGAGCCTCGGGCCCTGGTAGTAGCGCCCTCGCTGCGCTCGGGACGCCGACAGCCCAGGGCCCTCGGCTCACTAAATCGCGTAGTTCCCACGGCTCAGCATCTAACCTATACGTATTCAATAGCAAACATCAAAATCACAACAACAAATGTTTGTAGAATAACAACAAATAACCTCAGGCACTCTTACTTCTTCACTTCTCAAACTTTCCAATGAGAGATGAAACTTGGTACGTATGCCTATTATATCATTTCCAATATCATTTCCAATATCATTTCCATGACGATTACATGCTTCCATGACGACCGCTTATTGTTGGAAAAGTCTCATGCAATTTTCATTAAAAACTCATCAAACTCGCTACCGTAGCACGCATGGAGGTGAAACTTGGTGCGCATGTGTACTACATCGTTTCCATGACGACAACAACAAATAGTCTCAGGCACAAAATACTTCTTCACTCCACAAACTTTCCAATGTTAGCATGCATAGAGATGAAACTTAGTATGTATGCCTATTATATCATTTCCATCACGATTACATGTTTCCATGACGACCGCCATATTGTTTGAAAAAGCCTCAGGTAAACACTCCTCAAACTTGCTAACTGTAGCATGCATGGAGGTGAAACTGTGGTGCTCACGTGTATTACGTCGTTTCCATGACAACCATAACAACAAATAGCCTCAGGCACTTTTTCTTTAAAAATACTTCAAAACTTGCTAACTGTAGCACGCATGGAGAGGTGAAACTTGGTATGTATGCCTATTATACCATTTTCATGATGATTACATGTTTGCATGACGACCGCATATTGTTTGAAAAAGCCTCGGGCAATTTTCCTTAACTACTTCTTCACTCCTCAAACTTGCTAACCGTAGCACACATGGTGGTAAAACTTCGTGTGCATGTGTATTACATCGTTTCCATGACAAACACAACAACAAATAGCCTTAGGCAATTTTCTACTTCATTACTCCTCAAACGTGCTAACGGCAGCACACATGGAGATGAAACTTGGTACACATGCATTATTACTATGATGACAACAGGCATTTTTCTGTATTATACATTTTTATAGGGGGCTCGCCCCCTTTCACAGAGAGATACATAGTAGTACATAAAAATGAGTGGAGAGAAGTAAATTAAAAATCCTGCGAATTTAATAAAAGAGGCATATAGGGATGGTATAAAAAGAAAGGAAGAGAAGACAGGGATGGGATACATGAAGCATGGTTAATGAACATATTTGAGCGTGCTGACTCCCCCAACCCAATCACACAATCTCTATATTGTTGCCTAGGTGAAGTATTAAACATTAACAATTACAATACTCAGAACTTATGATACCAAAAAGTCATGCTACTTAGTAACCAACACCATATAGAGCCCAAGTGGAGTTTAATTAAAGGGACTGTGGCAGTATAAAAGTCGAAAAATTTTACTAAAAACAACAGGTGGATAGTGAAAGAATGGTTGCTTTTAGTAACCTTTAGCCCTTTTATAATGCCACATAAAGATTAGCACACCAGGGAACAATATAGGGTCCATGTATCCCATCCCTATCTTGTCTCCCTTTCTTTTTATACCATCCCTATATGCCTCTTTTAAAATTTAATTCACAGGATTTTTAATTTACTTGTATCATATGTATGTCTACTTTAGATGACGTAGGTACATTCCAGAATTTACGCATCATTGTGAACTTACGTAAACCACGCATTATTTATTTGGTTTATGCTATGACTGTATTTTGCCTGTGTAAAAGTGCCAGTTATACATGTAGCCTGTCTCCGAGTCGGCAAGGACGTATGCCTTCATGCCTCACTGAGTCGGCTTCTGAGGCATGTATTGGATGAAAAACAGCCGCCCTTTGAAAGCAATCATGCTTTCGTCAATGCAAATTTGCCTTGACAAGTTGTAGCTGGCTTGAAAATTGCGGAAGAGAGGCTCTATAAAAGGGCGGAGCTTGAAAAGTGGGTCATGACCAGGCTCTCCTTTCTCCCTGTACTTGGAGTTGTCATTCAAGTGGAGGAAACGCATGAGTAGGCTGAAACAGTTTCTCTTCATGATCTGTAAAT